TGTAATGCCTTGATAGCGACTGTTTATGTCGAAAACGACTCAAAACAAAATTCCATCGTGAAGAAAGGTCGACTAAATTCCCTTCTGAAAAACACGTGTGTATTTAAGGTGGAAAATGTTAAAGGTTTAATTCTATAATCATTTTGTTTAGTTATGTAAATAAATTTAACACGACTTGCTGTTTGTCTGAGTGAAAGGAGAGCTGCGGGTTTTCCCTTTCCTTTATTTACACTTTCAAATATGACCGCTTAACAAAAATGCACGGGCTCACTGGCTTACAACCTTGGCGAATTCATATGCAGGCCTGGTCTTAAATCAATCACCCAGTTAGGTTTAGGGAAAAGGACGGGTCAGGCTATAAAATGTTAAATTCATAATTCTAAGTTAAAATTTGATAAGAACATTTTTAATAAGTTAAGGCGTAGCTAAAAAGTTCGAATAAGTCGATAAAAAACTGTATAAAAATATACAAGTGAAAAAATGTATGGACCCCTGTTCGCTTGTTAGGTGCTTCTATTCGCTTGTTAGGTGCTTCTATTCGCTTGTTAGGTGCTTCTGTTCGCTTGTTAGGTGCTTCTGTTCGCTTGTTAGTTTGTTCTATACGCTTGTCCCATATATGGAATACGTACTACAAACCCGCCTCCTACCTGTAGCTGCCGCTTACGGCTACAGCTCAGATACACAGGAAGACCAGTGTAGTCATACAGCCAGGTACAAGTCATATTCTATACTTCGTTCTATAGAACACATAGGAAGTTCAGTGTCAGTTTATTTCGACCTGTAGCCGTAGTCTTCGGCGTTCATATGATGAACGTTTCTGTTGCGGGGTATTCGATAGTTTGCGATCTGAAGTGATCACATGAAATTACCCATGATGCACGCAATGCCATATAATATGTGCGTTAGCTGTCGGGATCTTTAGCAAATGACTGTACACGATCTAAATTTATTTTTGTGCTTTTATTAAAACAGCATTATTATCATTGCTGATATGACTCGAAAATCAGTAGTCTTTTGAAATGTGTGGCAATGATCAACGGTATCTGAAAATATATGAGCGAATGTATTCTTGGTGTGCAACCACATGACCAAGAATCCCCTGAGAAATAAAGAACAAAGCTATCGCCGCCATGTTGGATGAATGAACAAGAGAAACTAATGAGGAATGCTTTGTGATTTTCATCCAACATGGCGGTGATGACGTAACTCGCACACCAAGAATATAGTTGTCCACGTGGGTATCGCCAAATGTTGCGATAATCTATATCTACAAGTTTAATCCATAAAGGTTGCCCGTTACATGGATGTGAATGGTCAGGGTATGCATCTACTAGCAGGAGCACTGACACAGGAGGAGCTGGAATCGCTTCCTAACCTAGCAGTACTCATGCCAGCAGATGCATGCTCACAGCAAATAAAGATAACAAAAACTAATGGTGAGATAATGTAAGTAACCAGAAAAGAATTCGAGATACTGTACGACCCTTTCAGCTTAGTCAAACAAGGTGTGGTGTTTTTTACACGATGGCTGACTCTGCCAGTTGATTCCGAATAATAATAAACAGCGTCGGTTAGACAAAAGAAAACAAAGGAATTCGCATAATTCAGTAGAATTCAGCATAATTGTATGTAAGAGTTAGTTACCAAGAACGGAGGCATTACGCTACATACAGCCCGAGGGCTGTATATAGCGTAATGCCGACGTGCGAGGTAAATAACAAACTTAGTTTTCAATTCACGTGATTTTCGCAAAAACTGAATAGACTTAATGAATGTTTTCTTAGTTGGGATTCGAACAATAGAATCTCTTCTCTTGAGACCTTTTCATGGACGTTGAAATTAGTTTCCTTTAAGAAAACCTGTTCATGCGAAAGCGAGCAATCGATGTCGAACAGTGACGACGATTTGTTTATAGCTCAAAATACGTTTGACAGCATTCCTTTGCCGCAAACTTTGATATTGACGATTTGCTATCGGGTTTGGAACTCCGCATGCCTCTGCGCGCAAATAACGATGATAAAGTCTGCAGATGAGAAAATCAAGAGAAAAATTACAACAGTTTTTGATGTTGAACTCGCTCATAGAAATACGAGGGAAGGATTCAAGAAGGAACAAAATAAAGTACCAAATGGTGTGTACGTGCTTGGATATAGAATGGGTCGAGGAGAGGAGAAATACGAGTTACACTATTACTTCTGATTCATACACGTTGGCCCAATTTCGACGTATAGATTCTTTTAAAGGTAACGAAGATGGTTATTGTTATCTCTATTCTCTGATGAGCACGCGCTCAATCTCCTCAAATTTTGCTAGCCACACTGGTCTTTTTAAGTGAAAAAATAGTTTAGTTTACTAAGTTTATTTGATATTCAGCAGGGAAATGTGGGGTTGATGAATTGAATCGAATAGCTGGTTATAAATTCAGCGGGCTATATATGAGTGATTCCGGTCACTCATATATAGCCCGCTGAATTTATAACCAGCTATTCGATTCAATTCATCAACCCCACATTTCCCTGCTGAATATCAAATCCCTCCCCGGTTTTAAGTTTCTATGGTATATACAACCTATGAATAACAAAGAAAGCCAAGTGAATTGGAAACTAATAGTATAAAGTACTGATCGTTTTCAACCATTCACATGAGATTTAAAGATAAAAGACCGGCGGCCATGTTGTTACTAATGAGAAATCCTTAGTTTCCTCCTGGATGGCAGCTTTGACGTATAGTGAAAACGAAGAATTTCATGAGTTTAGTGTTTGCACTCTACAAAATATWTTTTTCCAAACCGAGAGTTAGTAGAGTAACACATTGTTTCAACTAAGCCGGTCCGTACATTTCGTAGTATTATCATCTTAAAGTCGTCATTAGTGACGTCTGCRTTCTTATATCCTTTCTAGTTTCTATATAACAAACTTTGGCTACCATTCAGAAGTTAATTTCATCTCACTCACTTGGGATCTCTTTGCCATTGTTTAACCCATCAATTTGAGWACAATTTCCGTTTCTCAAAAATCTCTAGGAGTTGAAATAACGATTCCCTGTGAAAGAAATCTACCATGAAACAAAGATGATCAACTATCAAYACTTACTTGGATGTGGTTTAAACTTGTGGTGTTTATGTTTCTTCCGGTGTTGTTTGTTTATCTCGAGCGTATTTTATACCCTTTGTGATGCGTAAATTGTTAGGAATGTTCTCTTTGTGCATGCGGAAGGAAGCTATACGTCATTTTTGTTCTGTCGCTAACAAGAGAGAAACATGAAATCCGGTTGTCATCGTCTGTTGTTATTGTGAATAATTTCATGGCCATTGACCAGTGCAGGGGAGTTTTCAGTACTACTTGTTGAGYTCCGACCAACATCATCACCTTGTTCAACGCATTGACTATTGTATGGATACATCGTTCTGATTGTCTTAAAAGGTAAAATGCTTCTTTCTTTCTTATTTGGGTAGACTTTTTTGTGAAYGTTTCTTATGCGTGTGTGAATGAAAAATGTGCGCTTTGCGTTGGTAAGCCGGCATACTGTATAGTCTACGATGTAGAAAGATGACATTGTAAAATACCATGRCAAGAAAGACTTATTCCGTCATTGTGCATTGGTATTTTTATCAATTGATTCTTTATAGCGGTATAGCTTTTCTACGTGGCAGGAATCACTTTATTTTTGGACCGTGGAACATTAAAAATCTTATTCATCGGTATTAAGACTACTGAGATGTATTAGTCTATCTTATGATATTATTAATATCTGTTAGCATTTTGCATTGTTACATGATGTTGGAATCTAAATGCTTCTTTCACCATCTAGGCTGAGTTTCATCCAGCGTTAACTCGAAAATAAAGCGGATGCACCGCGAAGGCTATTCACCATCCTACAATATTCARTATTCTGATGGAATACTTCTCGTACTATTTAAATCATTTGAAAAACCATTTTCCATCAATCATAATTTTTCTTTTTGGTTCCTTCTCGCGGCTTTAAGGTCAGTTTGAATGCTATGGAGCAATTATTTCTACAATATTCCTGACACCAAGTATTCCATCGAAAATGCTGSTTCTCACGAACGGCTTGTTTTCAGTACGTAATCAAAGAGCGAATCTGTTGTGTTTGTTGCGTGATGCGAAACAGGAAGACACACCACGCGTACCTTGTGTCATCAGTCAAGCAGCTAAGATCCCAGGACATTAACCAGGAGCATAGCGTGATCATTTTGAGAGGTATGCCCAGGTCAACAAGACCAAACATCTTCGCCTAGCAATATAAGGGTATTTTAACGTTGGCTGAGATGTCTGCTTATTTTTAAACTGCATTATCTTATGTGTGTTTACACAAAAATGATCATCGTTTTGAAATTATCAACAAAACCGTCGTCAAAACCGTTGCCAAAGATCCGGATTTAACACACCGTTTTCGGGGACTTCGTGGCAGGTCGCAGCATGTAGTAGACAATGAGAACAATGCGAAAATACTCAGTGTAGAAGCAGCCTTATATTGCAGTATTACTAATTTTCACTAAAATATAATAAGAAATTTGAAGTTTTTGTTTGTTGTTTTAGTTTGTTTTTGCGCCAGATGAATAGAATTCAGGTATTGATTGATGTCAATTTTGTGTACTATAGTTAAAGATAAGGAAAAGAGGTTTTCCTATATAAAAATATACAGCCATTTTCTATAGTTATTCAACCTCACCGTCATGCACTGTTAATCCAGAAAGTATTTATAGTATTGTTGATCTTGACTTGTCCTAAAATGGCGTAAGATGAAAGAATAAAATATATAAACATCCCGTATTTAAACTTTGCCATCAAATGTATCCATGGAGAGGACCTCCCTGCCAACTAATCCCAAAACTCGAATCCTAACTCGAATCCTAACTCTGCTGCTAGTTTGTCTCGAGGTTTTCCTATATAAAAATATACAGCCATTTTCTATAGTTATTCAACCTCACCGTCATGCACTGTTAATCCAGAAAGTATTTATAGTATTGTTGATCTTGACTTGTCCTAAAATGGCGTAAGATGAAAGAATAAAATATATAAACATCCCGTATTTAAACTTTGCCATCAAATGTATCCATGGAGAGGACCTCCCTGCCAACTTATGAACACATGAAAAACCAYGGGAACACCAAATAATTCCCTTCCCTGTCAAATAGCCTTTGATGGTTGAAGGCTAACCGAAAAGCACTGGTAGTATCGTCCAGAGGGMGAAAAGTTTGAATCAGTTTCGAATCAATTTTGTATTTTCATCCGGCGAGAGGAATAGCAAGCCGCATGAACTGGACTTATTTTTAAAATTTAAATTTGATACGACCTGCGTGAGACATTAGATTAGCGTCATACACAACGTACACCCAAGGCTCCCAGTGTGGTTTATTGATGATGGGCACGACAACTATGAACTTGACTTTTCTACAACTGAACAACTATGGAGTGTTATTCTTTTTACTTCATTTGTGACGCTTTTTTGTCATGTTGACCACCTGTGGTACCCTCACAATATTTAACCTTGTGCAGTCCTGGCTAGCCTGAGTTTCATCCAGYGTRAGTTTCGTAACACCGTCAATTTTAGAAAACAAACCGAAACATTCGAAGCACTGCTGGACACGCGGTGAAAGAGAGTCCGATATATGTTGCATGCGCATGTACAGAACGGACCAATCAGATTAACTGAACTGTCATACACGCAAGTACGATCACTTTTAAAATTCCATGAAGCTGGAGAATTCTTTTGTGTCATTATTTTCACCGCAATTAATTATGGCATTTTAATTTTGCGTTAGTGTTTGCGTAGTCCTTGATTGAYTTTTAAACACCAGTTTAACCTGCAGAAATTATAGAACGGCACGTATTTTAAAACAGACCTGTTTTAAATTTAATAGCAAAATCTAATCCTCACTTTCCTGAACATAGTTACAGCACTCTCTTTCCAATATTGCATGAACTGGCAGAACTTGTACACGATGATCTCTCTTTAATATCTCTAGCTCGGCGCAACCCCATAAAAAACGTCAGAACCTTGTCAAAAGTTCATTTTTGCAGTGCCTTGGCAAAATGCACACCGGATCCTGGATCCGCCAATGAAAGGGGGTAATGTTCGGTATACATGCATGCTATATAATGGAGTATTATTTCTTTTGACAGAATGACGGCTCTACATTCGATTGTTATTACTGTAGCTACTGTGTTATTATGTGTAACCGTTGTAAAGTGTTTGGTCATTAGGAAGACATATAAAGGTAAGGAAATTGGGATTCCTGTATTACATCTTTTACTATTTTAAAAGGGTGAACACCGGAAACGTCCTTAGCCTGAGTATCAAAGGGTTTGGGGCGGAGCCAAACCCCTTCGAGAGAGCCTGATACTCAGGCTAAAACGTCCTCTGTATGCCATACAGAGGCCGTGATAGATTGCGCTAAGCTTGAGCTGGAGTCCTGATTTTTATTGCATTCTATATATGAGAGAGTTAGTATACATCACAAAAGGGGTCTTAGTATTGGTGGAAATATCTAGACGTCCAAAAGCCGCAATTCATTCACTCGGTGTATCAAAAGGGTCTCTCTTTTGTACTGTCAATCCTCACAAAGATATATAATGCCGTCACTTACCCTGCACTCGGTTTATTTTCGTTTGCAATATACGTCACAGCGGCCATCTTGGTTGAATTTAACAAGGATTTCTCATTGCATGTATTGTCCATTTAACCAACGTGGCCGCCGGTCTTTTAAATCTCGTGGGARTGATTCAAAATGAGCAATAAGATATTATTAGATAATGAAAGTGAAGAATTTGTTCAATATCTTTTCCAGATGATGGCAATTATCAAGATACAATAATGGACCAAATCAGTAAAGTAAATGAAAGTAAGACTGCAATGCATGATATCCGTCTTATTCACAATAATCATCATTTTCATCAATTCTCGTTTGTGATTGGCTAATGAGCAATGACTTTTTAATGAGGTTAAGCTAGAGAATGAAAGTTGCATGGTTTTAAAATTGTATGCCCACTTAAGCCTTGAGCATTTTATAATCTATGCCAAGAGCAGGGAGGACAGCAGGGAGGACAGCAGGGAGGACCGCATACTATATGAAGTGTTACATGTCGTTGTGCGCGATAATGACACCCTTTTGAGCGCGCGTTTGCATTTCACGTGCAAAAMGATTTTTTTGTTTCTGATAAATTTTGCAGTTTTGTTTTTCAATTGTACTTCAGTGACTAATAATGTTGAATATGAAGCCGACATAGCTCTAACTGAACGAGATGTATCATTTGTGCATGAAGTAAAGAGGAAGAAACGAAATGCAGTACGGCAGCGGAAAAAGTTATGGCCGAAGAGAATTGTTCCTTATGAAATATCATCAGGGATGGGTAAGTTAGCCTATCATCTTCCCTCTATCTTTCTTTGAACTTAAACCCTGTTGCCCTGGAAAGCAGGTTATTCAATTACTAGGCAATCATGATC